GTTCGAGTCCGAGCAACTCGACCTCTTACATATAAATAAGCTAAATTTTGTGAGTTTAAGTCAAATCTAAAAAATTATTTAAACTCAACTCATTTAAAACACAAGTTAAATTCGAACCGAAATTTATTTGAGTCGAATCCAAATAAATCGTATCGATTGAAGCCCTAATCGTAGACTTGTCTCCTAATGTGCATGGCTTCTGCACAGAATTGGTAGAAATTTATTGGCAAGCAGCTGCAACTGACCCATCAGGTTATCCATGCAACATGGTATTTAAATACAGTTGGGGGCTTTACAACTGTCGGAAATAGCCACAAAGATCTGGACCGTCCACGTCGACAATATAAAACCTGATGTCCTTGGTTGCCACTAGTAGTACCTAAGCCATGTGCATGTTTGTTGAACTGGAATCTGGGTGGCAACCATGTTGGGGATGATTCAGTGTGTTGGGTCAAGGTCATAGCATTCATACTATAATTAACCTTTTGGGGACAAGTGGGTCCATACTGTACCTGACTTGGCCACACCTGTGCTTTTGCTTGTGGCCTTTATAAGAACCAGTACTCTTGCAAATGGTCATCCGTATAAAATATTAAATTTGTAAAAGGGTGATACAAAGAGAGAGTGCGAGGGATACCAGAGTTTTAAGGGGTGTTTGGCAAAGCTTTGAGGGATAGGGTAGGGTTAGTTTTGTAATTTAAACTTATTTATTGAAAATTTAATAATTCGGATATAGATAAAGGGGTTTAATTCTATACTTGATTTGATATATTATAGAGTCTACGGATAAAATATTGTATTTGTTGGTCAAATCTATTCACTTTTACATTAAATTACAATTTTAACTTTCACTCTTATGCAATCCAAATTCATATTTGCTTTGAAAAATTTTTTAATATTGTCCACCTTTATATTTCTTTTCATTTTTCATTTGTGTCACCATGAAAAAGACCAATTTTTTTTTTTTTTAGTTTACAAATGACAAATGCGACCACATATGTTTTCATCGTGAACAGAATGGGAGACTTTGGGGGGGTGAGAATTCGAAGAACACAGAAGTATCACATAAAAATATAATTTTTTTTGTTTTTCGATTTATATACATATACATATACATACATACATATATATATATATATATGTGTGTGTGTGTGTGTGTACATAAATAGAGAGAGATAGACAGACACAGAGAGGGTGAAAAAAATGTCGTTTTCTGTATATACAAGAATATGTGAACAAATCATAGAGTGGAGGAAGCAAGCAAAAAAAAAATCCAAATCTCCTGAACAAAGAGTTAGACTGTGGGGGTGAGAAATCAAAGAACACATCATTATCACATATAAAATTAAACTTTTATTTTTTGACTTATGTACATATATATATATATATATATATATATATATATATATATATAAAGAGAGAAAGAGAGAGAGAGGGTGAGAACGAATCACACTCTTGGAAGAAGATCCTTCACAATACAAACAAAAACCCCTTTTTTAATATATACAAATATATGTGTGTGTGTATATATATACACACAGCGAGAGAGTGGAAAGAGAGAGAGAGAGAGAGAGAGAGAGAGAGAGAGACAACGAGTGAGAGAGAGATAGTGGAATACCTTTGGCAATGGGGGACCACAGAGCGCCGTTTGTAGGAAGGAGGGGACCAGGGGTGAAGTGGAGAGATAATGGGATAAAACCCTAGAATTTTTACTGTTGGAGGATTTTTTGTGTAATTCCACCATCAAACCCATTCATGGGCTTAGTTATCCCAAAGTTTAGGTGGGATACATAGAATCGAGTTAGACAGGATAAATGACCTCATTTCATACGGACCGATTTTTTAAGCCCAACATTTATACCATTCAAGAAAAAGGATCCAAAGTTGGGTTTTGTGAGCCCTTCAATTCTTTTGTCTAATCCAACTTACTTTATCCCTTTTTATCCCTTAAACCAAACACCCTCTAAGGGTATTTTTGGTTTAGACATTAGGAAGGATAGGATTAAACAAATTTTTCTATTTTATACCTATTTATTCGGTCCCATGGACTAATTATAGTGATAATATTTTTGTATCACATGATTGGTTGAAGTATTAAAAAAGAGTGGGCATTACATTTATCTCATCTAATATTTTTTTTGGATAGAGTATTGAATAATAGTATAAACAGTAAATTATTAAAGAACCCTCAAGATAAAAAATTAATATTTATATCTTAAATATTCTTGAGGGTAAAAATATTTTTTATCCAAATATATCTCAACCGAATTATTTAACCCATAAAAAATTGGGTTTATTTGAGAGGTTAAATGTGATATTAAATACACTATTCATCCGGGCAAGTATTATTTCTAGGTGAAAATACAAGCCCCAAAATGTGTATTTAAACATGGGTATAAGAGGACTAAGATAAGCCTGACATTATTTTTTTCAATCCTCCTTCCTAATACTTAAAACAAACACACCCTAAAGGATTATGAGTGCTCAAGATAGGCAAATAAGAGTAAACTAGACATATCATCTTTAAATTATGACATTTGTGTCAATTAAATCTCTGAATTTTTTTTTTTGTCAATTAAGCTCCTAAACTCCCTAATTGTGTCTATTGAGCCCTTCTATATGTCTCCGTTAAAATATACCACTCACGTTACTATATGACACTAAAGGCAAAAAGGGTTCAATTAACACAATTAAAGAGTTCAGAAACTCAATTGACACAAAATTTTAAAAAAAAAATTCAATGACTTAATTGATATAAGGGTAATGGTTTAAGGGTTATATGTGTAGTTTACTCCAACCATTTGTGTTACATGAGTGACACACTTCGCCACGTTCTATTAGAAAATGTAACGAAGATAAATAGAAGGGTTCAATTGACACAATTAGAGAGTTCAGGGGTTCAATTGACACACTAAAAAATTTCAAAAATTTAACTGACACAAAAATCATAGTTTAAGAATCATATGTATTGTTTACTTGAAAAATAAATATGAATAATAGTAATATTTTACAGATGTATACTAAACTCCGTCATCTTCTATTATATTATTCACTGTAAGTACCAATATTATCTAGATCTACTATCAATCAAAAGATACGAAAGATTGGATCAAAAAATTTGTATAAACAATATTTTTGTAATTTGGCCACAATCAAGCAACTCATTTTTGTATCTATTAAGTGATACTAGGAGACCCACTTGAATACAAAGAGTTTCGCTTGGGTTCACAGTCAAGAGTCTAGCATTGAGGAAAATTCGAAAGAATGTAATACAAAGTGGATCAAAATCCTATTTCGTGTTCATATTAATCACTTGCTTTCAATTTTTCATGTATGACCTTGAACTGTTCAAAGACACATTCAAGTAAATAGGAATGAAAATGCACCAAAATTACCTATCAAGTCCTTATTGTGCCACAATTAAAAATTTTAATGACACGCTCTAAATTAGAGGATTGAGGGACAAGAGATATAACCTAATTGTATAAGGTAGCATCAAAGGATTTTTTTTTTTTGGATGGTTAGGAGTGATGAGGCATAGCAACCTCCTATAACGTTATCTTGAGGTTCTCACCTGCCATAGAATGTCCAGTTTGAGCTGTAGCAACTGACTTGAGATAATCGAGCTCATTACTACAACACCGCTAAGGACAACCTATACATTCAGCCTCCTCCAGTAATATTTGGTTCACAGGTACTATTATTTAAAGTGGGTTCAAACCCATGACCACTGAAGAAGCGCAGGACTGTCATCCTCTACTGAAGCCAACTTGGCTACCACCTCGGTGGTGCATCAAGATAGTAACTCAGATAGGATAGCGGACTAAATGTTATGGTATTTGAGTGTAGGGTGCTTTTTGTCGACATAAAATGGCCTTTTTTCTTTTTATTATTTATTGCACATGATATGGTATCACCAAATCATGGCATGTTCGAATGGAAATACAAACAATATCATTCTCCTTGATGGGTCAATAGCCACACATACGAACTACATTTCTTCCATTAATACTCAAGAATCCTCTTTGTACAAGTTCATAAATAAACACAAACATGAAAGCTTGTGCAAATGCTATGTACAGAGTACAACATAGGAATTTGTCATTTGAATACAAAGTGAATGTAAGTTCTAAAAATCTACAGAAGTTTCATCAGGCTCATCTTCAGTCTCGGAATCAGGAGACTGTTGTGTGTCGAAAGCAAATCTCATTTCTTGGTTAACCAATTCAGCAAGGTCGTGTTTGTTGGCATTTTTGTAGGCATCAATGACTGCATTGAACAGGGATTCATTGGGCTCAATCTCTCCATATTTTAGTTGGCTGTAAATTCGTTTCACACCTTCAACCATACCAGCTCTACCATAACAACCTACAAGATGAATATAAGTAACAATGTCGGGTTCTAGCCCATCATCTTGCATTCTCATGAAAATGTTTAGTGCCTGGTCGATTTTCCCTGAAGTCCCGTAAGCATATATGGCAACATTGTAGGCAAAGGAATCGAGACACGTATCTGCTTTTGCGAAGATCTCACAGGATTCAAGTGCAAGAGCATGAAAACCTACTACAGAGAAAACAGAGGTTATGACAGCTTGCCTGGCATAAGGTTTCCCTTCCTCGTAAGATGACTCAAGCTGTCTGACTCCGTCAACTGGAATGCCACCCTTTTTCAATATAGTAAATAATACTTTAAAGGTCCCGGCATCAGGCAAAAGCTTCCGATTTACCATTTCATGTAACAATTGGCCACATTCAACTAGCTGCCCATTTGTGGCATAGCATGCCATTACCTTATTAAAAGAAACACAATCCCTCAGTAAACCTGACAGTTTCATCTCCTCTGCAACGTCAATGGCTTCATCCAGCATGCCCATATTCTTGTAAACATACATCATCGTTGCAAATGTGACCCCATCTGCCCAACCTCTCTCTCTCAAATTATCAAATATCAATCTGGCTTCAGATACCATTCCCAGATCAGCATATAAATTGAGCATACTATTAGATGCCACGATATCAGGACCACCCTCCAAAATTTTCATCTTCTCATAAAGTTGTTTTGCTCCTTGTACAGACCCAATTTTGCTATAAGCCTTGATCAGCGAAGTTAACACTATCTGGTTTGCTGAAATCCCAGATTCCACCATGACATGGAAATAGTGAAGCGCTTCTTCAATTCTGCCAGTCTCTGCGAATCCATTGATCAAAGACCCATAAACAACTTCATTTGGTTTTACCCCCGCTTTAACCATTTCTTTGTAGATATCGACTGCTTCAGAAAGCCTGCCTGAGCGGGCATAACTTGCAATAACAGCAGAGAAGGTTACACACTGTGGTCTGAGCCCTGCTCCTCGCATTTCAATTAAGAGGTCCCTGCCTTGCTCCACTAAATCTGTTCCTGCAAACATTTGGATGAGAGAGTTATAAGTGCACTCGTCTGGCCACGTCCCATGATTCTTCATGCCCTTGAAGAGAGAGAAAGCTTTATCATAAAGCTTCGCTTTACCATAAGCTTTGATCATAACATTATATTCCACAATATTCTTTTTCTGTCCAACTAAATCTCTCTCGTTGAAGAACACTGCCTCAGCCTCAGCCCAAAGTCCTTTCTCTGCATATGTATCCATAACTGCTGCATATGTCCTTGATGACAATCTGCCATCCATTTGGCACTTCTCAAAAATGACTTTTGCACGTTCGGTCAATCCTTCATTGACATACATCTTTATGATAACTGGAAGAGAGCGCTCATCAATGCGCACACCAGCTTTCTCCATTTCTGCCATCACAGCCTCCACTTCTTGAACCATTTTCCTCTCACATAGTATCTGAAGAACAGCTCTATGAGTCACAACATCAGGAAAAAGACCCACCTCGCTAATCTTCCTATAATACCTAAGAGCTGCATCCATGTTACCCACATCAGCATACAGAGAGAGAAAGATGTTGTAAGTTTTTGTATCAGGAGTGACTCCCCTTTCTTCCATCTTACCAAGCAAAGCTTCTGCTTCTGACAAATAACCGTGACTTCCACAAGTGAATATTAGAGTGTTAAAAGTGAAGGTATCTGGAGCAACCCCAGATTTTAACATACTCGCAAACACATCTGCAGCTTCTTTCAAGCGACCTGCCTTTCCATACATATCAATCAACGTATTGTAAGTAGCTGTAAGTCGGGGCTTCCTAACAGAGTTCTCAGTATCCGACAAAGCAAGAACTTTACCAGTATTCCTCCCACCAATCCTAAAAAGCTCGGTTGAAAGGAAATGCTTCAAACTAATGGGTTCCACACCTGGCCCAGATTCAGAATCAGCTATAGAATCCAAATCAAGATCATCCAATTCAATCCTTCCAACACACCAATCCTTATAAAACCCATCTGCCCGATCATATTCCCCCGCATCCTTCAAAACTCTAACGGCTGTATTCATGGTCACCTCATCAGGAAAAATTCCCCTCACCTTCATGTGCTTAATCCACAAAAGCGCTTCTTTTACAAGACCAGCTTTTCCGTACACATCAACAAGCATCCCATAAGTATTATTCGTTGGCAAAACACCATTTTTTGCCATTTCAATCCAACTAAGCCTCAACTCATCCCATCTTTGAGCCCGACCCAGCGCCCGTAGCACAACATTATAGTGAATTACATTGGGAGCATACTCTTTCTGTGACTTTATCCACTCAAAAACCCTAAGAACCCTTTCCCAACTAGTCTGCTCTTTGAGAATCACAGTTTGTTCTTTGGGATTAAGCTTCCCATAATACAAATCAAGGGTTTTCTCAATATCAGTATCGGATTCCAAAGACCGTAAAATCGATGGCAAAACACCTCCATAGCTCTTCTTTTTACCATTAATTCTGGTTTTGGTGGGCAAAACTAGTGTTCTTGAATGGCACTGAAGCTTAAACCCTATATAAACCCTAATAGTTCCTCTAGCGTTTAGCTTCTGGGTTTGTGAATTTACAGTTCTGTTTATGGTTTGACAAGTCATGAAGGGCGATGTGTGTAATGAACACTCTTGTGTCTCTACTGAGCTGTGATGAGTACATGAATTAAACCCTAGAAGAACCCTAGATTTGAATGGAGAGTAGAGATTCAGAAGCTTACATGGTGAAGAAAAGATGTGGCTTTGAACTGGGTTATGGAGATTTTCGTAGCTTAGCTCTCTGGAACTGCAAGCTTGAAGCATCATTTCCTCTCTGTTTTTCTGACCATGAACATAGAAACTCAACAATGTATAAGTACAAAACATAGGAATACAGAAAACTTTTAATTCAACCAAAAAAAAAAAAAAATTTAATTATATTAGAGGTCCCTAAAATATAATTTGTTTTATTTTTATATAAAAATTTTAATCATCCAACATATAAATTAAAAAAATTTAATATATGCAAAGTATCATGAGCCCAAAAATTGAAAAACCTCTTCAAACTCAACTGAATTTTTTTTTTTTTGGGTTAATTATATTGATGGTCCTTATAGTATAAAGTTCATCTCATTTTGATTTATAATATTTTAATTATATTATTTTAGTCTTTGAATTAAATATATTATTACGTGGTTTCTCAAACAGACAGTATTTAGATTGCCAAAAAAATTTTATTATAAACTTGCCATGGAATATCTAAATATATGGAAAAAAAATAATTTGAATAAATTTTGACCAAAATTTTACCTAAATTTTGGTCAAAGAACTATTTAAATTACATAATTTTGATTATGAACTATCTAAATTTTAGTTAAGAGTTACCCATATTACACAATTTTGGTTGAGACCTATCCAAATTTTGGTCAGGAGCTACTGAAATTATTTTTTGTCTATATGCACGTATCACGTGACAAAATTATGATAAAAAAAAAAAGGTTAGCAATTTAGATGTTGCCTGCTTGAAAGACCACATAGAAATATATTCAATACTTCAGAGAATAAAATGATGCAATTGAAATATTGAAAATAAAAATATAAAAAATAGAGCAAAAAAATTGTTAAATAAAACAACACAACTTTGGGTTTAGACAACATTGATATAAAATTATTTGTACATTAGTCAATTATAAGTATTTTGCATGAAAATTTTGCACACAATTTTGTTAAAGTGGATTATGTTGTTATATTTTTATCTAATTGAGAATGCAATGTACGAATTTTAATCTTGTACAGAATGAATTGAGAATTTAAAGAACTTTCAGGTGCAAAGTGTCATTCGCCCTTTTATTTTTTTTTAATTTTTTTGGTCTTTTTTTGTTATTTTTATAATTTCATCATATATTCTTTTCGGGGTTTGTTCGACTAAAAAGTAATAAAAATGGTTACTTTTCCTAATTGATCATGAAATAATTATATTTATCAGTATAAAATATATAATACATATCCATGGGTAATATATACCATCTAATACATGTTATATACCAAGACAAACTTGTGCAAATCGCACCTTTTTTTTTTTAGTGTGATTAAAATATTTATTGTGGTTAAAAGTTAATCATAAATAGCTAGAAAGAGTTATTGTGGTTAAAATGTAATTAATAAGATAAATCATTAGATTTAAATGACTTGGCCCATTCTTGCACTTTTCTAAGTTAGAAGTTTAAGTTAAATGTTATGTTTTATTAATTTAGTTAATAAAATTATCTATATACACTAGTAAAAAAATCTATTTAAAGAAACGTTTTTTAGTTTTTTAGTTTTTTTTATTTTTGTTTCTGTGATTTTTGTAAAGTATATATTATCACCTTAATAGTAGACTAGATTATATCGTCATTGGAGTCAATAATTAGATAGTCAAATTGATATTATGAAAAAAATCTTTATAACACCACTATTTTTAATCATGTCAATAGTGTGATTATCACAACAGTGAATACTTCTACAACGAAAAAAGAAATTAAAAGGAAAAAGAGCGATGTATTTGAATTTATGCTAATCTACATGGGATCGCCATCGAAATTCTTCCAAAAAATAGTTCTAAACTTAAATCATTGATTGTTTAGAGGTAATGGTTGGATTCAATCTTCAATTCTCTTGGATTTTAAATGCACATCTCAAAATTTAACCAATTTTATTTTAGTTTCATACTTCTAAGCAGAATAACAAAATAAATTTTAGATTTTAATTGGTACTTGAAGTGAATAGACGAAATATCAAAATCTAGTTAAACTTTTTTTTAGAAACTCGTATTTTTATGTATAAAACGGGGATCTAACTTTATTTCTGAAAGGAATGAGGATGAAAGCATATAACCCTAAAAAATACTATATTCAAGTGAAATACTTAAAACATTTTTTGTAACAAGTAATCTCTACTTATAATTGAGCCTTAATGCATATGTCCCTCTATTAGTTATATACTAAGATGCATATAAATCGTCTTTGTTATATACTAATCAAACGCGTTTTTGTTTTGTCGACATTACCTTTTTGCTAAAGATTAAATACCAAATATAATTTCTAGAAAAAAGACAGGTCAATCTGTAATTTTCAATACAACTGATCTTAATCAAATACAATTTAAGACTACTCTGAATTTTCACCGCATAAAGTAGCTCACCAGTGTAATTGCAATCTGAGCAACAGATTTTTTCAAAGCATCACAAGATAAAGAATCCCAAACTTTCTTCTATTTCTATTGTCTGAATTTCTATACGTTTTGAAAACATTCATTCAAGGAAAAGGAAGGTTATGCTAAAAAATAAAAAATGAAAAGAAAGGTTAAACAAACTTATGATGCTGCTTACATAATATATGAGAACAACATTTGTCCAGGTGAGCGTCCAAGGGAAAAATGCCCGTATCACCATACGCTTGTCAAGGATCAACAGTTGATATGTACTTACAAATATACATTGAACGCGCTAAATTATGTAGTAAAAGGTGTGAGAAAAGAGGAAAATTTTGACCGCAAGAGAGACCGGAGCTCGAAAGTAACAAACAATGAGCTGTGCGAAAGCCTGAATGGAGTGACCCAATTGGTAGGAAAAAACCCACAACTTCTTGGGGTTATCCTGCATTTGAAAGAATAAGTAGAAAAAAAAATAAATATAGTGATAGTTTGATTCTTCGTTGCCGTAGTAAATAGGCGATAGAATTTATTTCTTCGTCTTTATATTTACAAAACAAAAATAAATAGTTAGTAAAAAATTAAACTTCTTGGCCAAATAAGCTCACGAGTATCATCTCCACTCCATTGCGGCCGTGTCAAAGTGCTGACATCATTGTCGATCTTGCAGCCTCACGCTTCATCTCTGCAACTTTGCCACTGCCTCGGAAGTACATGTATACTTGCTGCATATAGGGATAAAGAAAGAGGCTCAGGGAGCCCAAAACCAAAAGACAAAGAAATAATGTAATACCCCCTCCCTCTCCCCCAAAAAAAAAAAAACAAATATAGAAACAAAAGAAGCCATATTATAGAACCTGGATAACCCAGATGCTGATCATTGATTCAAGGCTGAAAAATCCGAAGCCAATGAGATAGAAGATCTGCAAATAAAAGTGTAAATTACTGCAAAATGGTCACAATTTGATATGTTGTTTTCTTGTAGATCATCTTTCTTTTGGCATACTTGAAGGAATGAAATTTATAAAAAAATATGTCAATAGGCTACATGTGCTCAAAGATCATAAACTGAAATAAACAAACCCTCAACTCAAGAAGAGCAAATAAATAATTGCTAAAAATTAAGAAGGTCCAGTGATCACGATAGATATCAAATACTAATGGTGGTCAATGTCCGCATTTGTATTTGTGTATAGACACTACTTAATTGCAATCACTACATTAAAAACTTACCCCAACTAAAGCATGATTACTCAAAACATCAACTGCTGGCAAGATTCCTCTGTTACAGATGAATACAAAAACCATGCATCAGTAGCCCACTATAGAGGAAAAACAGTATTCAAATAGAAGTTGTCACTATATAGATTATGGCTTCGTCTTTCCTTCCAATGAATTGGGAGGGCACATCCCTCCTAAGATAAATAGGACAAAGAAAACTCACGTTAGTGATTTCCCCTTAAAAATAATTGGCGGAGCAACTGCAGCAAAGAAGCAGAAGCCAATGTGAAACTGCATGGAGAAAACGGAGGAATGAATGAGGCCTCAAAAACACATCCAACATACGGATATGATTTATGTGTGGATTCATAGACGTGTACCACGTAAGACAAGAAAAACCACCCAAACTTCAGGGCACTATCAGTCCTGTCAAAAGTGTAACCCACGCAATTATAAAGAGAACCATACAGTCAAGGATTTTGAAGGACAGTGGAGTTAGTAATGCATATTCAAAACATGACTATTAAATTCCAGACTATGGGAACAAGAACTGTCACATCTATTGAGAATTAATTCTCACATTCTAAACCTGAAAAGCACAAAATGTAAGGTCACCATAGCAATACATTAATCGATCCATCAAAATGCTGGAAACCATAGCCAGGCATGCAGTTTCAAAAGACTCAAAACTAGTCATTTAACAGGCCTAAACAATGCTGGGGAACCATAATATTAGAGCCTTCGAAACCATAGATAGTGGAACAAATTCAAATGTACAGAGCATAAATAGTACCTCATTGCACGATAAAGAGGACGATACCACAACACATAGGCTCCTGGAACCCCCGATATGAAGTAGATGATAGCAAGAAACCAGATAGTCAGACCTACAACAAAAGAGAACTTGAAAAAGTGAAATATCACAAAACGATTGTGAGCCTGCATGAAGTATTCCAGACCAACCTTCCCCTTCGATCCAGGCTGTGGTAACTGCTATCATGTTCCACAGAAGGCAGACAAATAAACCTGCAAAATATCGCAAAGTTTAATAACTCAATCCACCACAGTCCACATGAATTGCTTGTCCACCTTTCAAAAAAAAAAAAAAGAATTGCTTGTCAATTAAAATTAATTATGCAGTCCAAACTTTTTGAGCACCAAGGTAGTATTTCCACCAAAGACACCATGCTTTGTGAGGTAACATTCTAACTTGAGAATATAGCATACCCTTCACTAATCGCAAGTTATGATATGCCAAAGCACCAATGTCCTAAGTTTCCATTTAGATGTCGATCTTTTGATCTCTAAATGGCATAACTAATACCAATATACTTTTTACTTTTAGAACTATGCAATATGTAACTTACGATAGGGAGAGGCGGAAGGATAGATATTTTGACAAAAAAACTAATGACCAAAGCTGTTATTCACCCAACCAAAAAAAAAAAAATCTGTTATCTGTGATTTTCTAGTCTAAATTGCTAAAATTTAAAAAGTGGTTTGCAGTAGTTGTTGTGTTAGAGAGATAAATAGATAGATAGATAGACACAGAGAGAGAGAGAGGGAGAGATGCTAATCTGACAGAAATCTTTTGACAGCTTTCATCCCTGATGACAAACTAGTTGTGGCAAAAGTGGTTTACCATTATGGACCAGTACAACAAGAATGTCAGAATAGATATCTGAATTAGTGTATCACATGCAATTTTACAATCAATGCAGTTATAAAATGCATCGACTTCAGGAAATCAAGCAGTAGTCCGATTAATGAGCCAAATCTTAGTCAGACGAGGGACATTTTTGCCCTTAAAGTGCATAGTACAGTACAAAAATGATTGAAAAAAACTATAATGTGAAGCATAGGAGGAAAAAAGGGCAATTTAAAGATGATTTATAAACCATTTCTGATATCTTTCTATCCGATTGACTCTTCTTTCATATATGATTTCCTTGAAAATAATATATTTTTGTTTTGAATAAAGTTTTCTTTTGTTTTTCACTCTTTTCTTTTTTTCTGCTTTGGTCAGGAAGGTTAAGAGCTTTGTATTAGTCGAAAGGGGTCTTACTGCATGCTGCCTTTGGTATATAGTGAAAACTCGAAAGCATTGATTTTGATGAAACCTTCTCACCAGCTAGGCTTGAGTCAGTGAGACTACTCTTTGCCATAGCATCTCATTTAGAGTTCAAGCTCTATCAAATGGATGTTAAGAGTGCGTTCTTGAATGGTGTTCTTCAGGAAGAATTCTATGTGAAACAACCAAAGGGGTTTGAGGATCCACATCCCGCTAGACATGTCTATCGGCTTAAGAAAGCCTTGGATGGGCTGAAGCAAGCTTCTAGAGCTTGGTATGAGAAGCTTTCAGCTTAACTTTTGAGAGAAGATTCTCTAGAGGTGGAGCAGACAGATGACAAACTCATAAAGGGCGTACCCAGTGTACGAGGCTCCCACCATTGTGGGGTTTGGGGAGGGTTAGATGACAAACTGATAAAAATTTAAAATATCTAATTTGCTTTCGCCAATGTGCTCTGCATATAAGAGAATTTGGGCGAGTACATGAAATTGTTTACTTTGTGCACAGCCCTGCACACTTTAAGAGGAGGGAGGTGGGCATTAGATACGAATTATATTGAAGCAACTTGTATTAACAAGTATTTGCCTGGTTGCTTAATGGAAGTGCTGAGTTGTAGACATAATATCATCTGAAACACGTTACTACTTACTGATGTGGCTCCAGAACCCCAGGCCCAGTAACTATAGTTACATAAATTTGTCATCGAAGGTACAAGAGTTCGGGCATCTATGTGATCCGAGACAAGTAACTTTTAAGGAATTTAAATAGGGGACCCTAAATCCTTAAGAGACAATCTAGATAATATACCCAATAATGTTGTAAATGCAACATACTGCAACTTCTGTAGATGGATCGGAATTTCATTTGCAATGTCATGATGAATGATAGGAAAAAATGGTGGCCAATTTTTCTCCTCAAAAACAATTCCAGCTGCCAAACAAAAGGGAAAAAAAATGATTGCTCAATAAAAGACACCAGAAAATCAACCTACATTTTTTTTAATGTATAAAAACATAGAGAAAAGAACTACCTCGTGCTGCAGCATCCTCCCTCCTTTTTATTTCCTGTAAAGAATCATAAAAGATCATTGAACAGTTACTCTTATGTCTGTAGATGCAAGACATTAAAAATGTAACATATAGCCACAGGCTGCACAGATGATGTCCAACAACATATCAATGTCCAATACATAGTCCAAAAATAGTTTTGGTACTAATCTGCAGCAAAGATAGTACCAAAAAATAACAAGAAAAACTATACATCTCACATTAGTTTTAAAATAAATCATGGGAATGAAATATATAACGGAAAATATTAATATTCTATACTAAAAGTTTTTTGCTGGGGGATTACACAAGTCCACAAGTGGCTATATATTACTTCCAAGGATCAAAATGTCGTGTCGACACGTCCGAAACGTCCGAAACGTTTCGGAATTTCAACACTCCGAAACGAAACAGTAGTTGAATCACAAAATTCCAGTGTTTCGGTCGAAACGGTACTGTTTCGGACCGTTTCGGTCGAAACGGCATTGTTTCGAACCGTTTCGATCGAAACGAAACAGTAGTTGAATCACAAAATTCCAGTGTTTCGGTCGAAACAGTACTGTTTCGGACCGTTTCGGTCGAAACGGCTTTGTTTCGAACCGTTTCGGTCGAAACGGCATTGTTTCGAACCGTTTCGACAAAACAGTGATATATTCGGTTCATTATGAATAATTACATTTAATACCCCATTATAATTACATTTAATACCCACTGTAATTACATTTAATACTCACTATAATTATATTTAATATCCCACTATAATTACATTTAATTCCCACTGCTCTTCTGTCTTTTATAATTTTTTTGTTATAAGAATAAATAATTACACTTAATACCCTACTATAATTATATTTAATACCCATTATAATTATATTTAATACATACTGTAATTATATTTAATACCTCACTGCTGTGCAAGTTTTTTGCTTTTTTTTTGTTATAAGTATTAACAATTACATTTAATACCCTAATGTAATTATATTTAATACCTACTGTAATTACATTTAATACCCACTGCAATTACATTTAATTTTTAAGTATACATAAGTATCATTAATTTAATTTGATACCCTTCATTATTAGTATTATAATAAAATAGTATTATTAATTGGATTATATTACCGTAATAATATGATTTGGAGTAACTATTGTCATCATATTTATGTCACATATGGGGTTTCTCTAAGTAGCTACCCAGAGCCTACACCGATGTATGAGCCTGCTCGACACTCCACAGGGGAATGGATGTAACCATGTAAGTATGTACTCATTAGCATTTCATGTGTATTATAAGACCTTAATATTATGTAAAAATGTGTTTATTTCATAAAAATTAAGTGTTTGAAACTAATTTAAGTGACTTTCGCCTCAAGTCAAGCCTTTTTTTCCCTCAAATTTAAATTTATTCTTCTATAAATTGATGTTAACCTAATAAATATGTTGAATTAATAAATTATTTAGCATATCTTTATAAATTAATGGATTGCATTTGTGTTTCTATGCGTTTCCATATTTTTTCTGCGTTTCCGAAATGTTTCCGAAACGTTTCTATTTTTGAGTTGACCGAAACGGTACTTCGAAACGAAATTTTGATCCTTGATTACTTCTTCCCGGTTCAAATTTACAGATAACTGCACTTCTAAGGACACATACATGCTCAACTAACACATATAATCAACCAACCAAATTAAATTGACATAAACACTGGAAAAAAAATTAAATTGGAACACTTCGTATTCAATTTACAATGACTAACCCATATTCAGAAGCTACCATAAAAGAGAACAATAAGCAAGTACCTGTTCTCTCCTCTTTAGTTCTGCTTCTTTAGCTTGGAGTTCCTTCTCCTTCATTCTCAAATCCTATATTTAAAGAGAAGGATGGTAAGAAGATGTTACCCTAATGCGTTCTGGAACGCACAAATAGAAATATTGCACTCATCAAACATCTTTAGAGCTTTGATCTACCTTGGAACTATCAAGAGGAATATCAACTGTTGCCCCACGATCATAATCAGCACGTTCAGGAGGAAGGGGTGAAAGCATTGAGTTTGGAGGGGGACCACTTCCAGGATTCTGAAGATCTCGTAAAGAATGAAAATAAAATAAAAAACAGGTAAGCTAACAACATTATAGTCCAGGGAAAAAAAATATTAACTCCTACAAACAGAAATGCCTCAGAAGTCAAAACTGCAATAACTTGCTCAAGGATTATGCTATCCCTGTAACAGAGATCCTTCAAAGCATGTGTTTTGCCCTTCTCTTTTTTGGCACAATGTTCTATGTGTTTTATATAATTATATTGATCAGAATGACTTTTACTTCCTGTTCCAGGATCCAGAACCCCATAGCCTAATTTTATATCTCATTTTGGAGATATAAAGCTAGAGCTGTTAGAGATCGAGCCCAAAATATCAAGCTCTAGTGCCTAAATCCCAAAACTAAAGTTGTGATACCATGTAGCCCACCACTACGCTCAGGGGATCACGCAGTGAGGTAATAGGCACATGAATGTATATTAATCTCATAAGTTTAAAGTTAAACCATGAATTACTTCCCTGTGATTTGGTCAATGTACATATTACCGTCCTATGCTTTAAAATCCTACAAGCAACCTCTGTAGTGTTGGAACTAAGTGAAATTAGTGTTTTTTCCATCCTAAATAATGAACAGTGCATTACATTCGCCAAAAAGGTCTGTTGATGTGGGGGCAAAATATTTCCTCCAAAAGTTATTCTTAATGACCAAAATACATTGATTTCTGCCTATTGTTTCCTCCTTTTCCCTGCCCTGTAATCTCTCTTTCCTTCTCTACCAATTCAACCCTGCAGCCATCATTGCCAAACTATTGGATTCGCCCAATTTAATAGATCATGTTGAGAAGCCAGATACTCTAAAAGAGCTTATCACAAAGATGCCTATGCGGGCAGGACCTGATTTATTGAGAGCTTTACTCAGCTTGCAGAATCTACTCAAATCTAGAGCTTGGAGAGATTGTGACCAAGCTAATTGAGTCAGTCAGGGTATCTTGGCCCCAATGTGATGTTTTCACTGTGTACCCTTTAATAGCTTCACCAAGTTGAAGCTGGACATTGACTTAAACCAGCTGTCTCCACTGCAATGGCTTCAATAATAGGATTCATCGACTGAAATTGCCATCACAAAGTCAATCACCAAAGCAACGAAATTCATAGAGGGTAGGAACCGAGTATGCATGTAGACACCTAACCCTCTCTCTCTCTCTCTCTCTCTCTGTGTAAAACCCTGATCCAATTCTGTATAATCCAGAGCGCAAATAGCCTCTATTAGAAGTAAACAATACAATCCTCAAACAATAGTTAAGCTCTGATACCAATGATATGAATAACAACCTTGCAGTATTATATCAAATATACTCTTTAGTCGCATCACCTTATTACAAATAGTAATACAACCCTCAGACATTATTTAACAAAAACAAAGATAAACTGGCAGTTCGAATATTCGCAAACTTCTCTGCCACCCGCTAATCTAAAAAAGGAAAAATAATGTGGGGTAAGCATCAACAGCTCAGTAGAGTAGCTCAACTCCGAAGCATGCAAGTTTGAAAATAACAAAATTTGATATTATTGGGCAATATCAAAACAGTTCATTTTATATATAAATAATAGAGCAGAAAACATTGAGTGAAAATATTTAAGATGAAAATAATAATACGATCACACCATCAATACAGTCCTGCACTAGTGGGCAATTATTTTAAGAAATCACTCAGGGTTAATACAAATATACGATCCAACTTTTTGTGAGACTTTCACCCCGAGAAAGATACGCCCCCTAATCACAATTTAGTACCCAAGTCCAAAGGCCAACAGGGCCACCCAAACATTTACGAACTCAATGAGAAACCCTCTACAGCCTCAACCTAGAATGTAAACGCTCCGCCACTAGACCTATGTGCACTTTCATTTAGTTTAAAAGGATTCCGAAGTTTCATTCAATATGAGCAATGCGATCATTACGGCATTTGTGCGAACCGCACACAAAAACCCTAATCCGGGTCCGGATTTCAAGTCATTATTCAAACACCCAATCATATATTTCAAAATATGTTAAATGATCATAAATAACATATAAAATAATTTAAAAATAATTTTGGAAAGCATCGTCAGATCCGGAATTGAGAAACCCTATCAATCTCGATATTTCGATCTCAAATAGTAAAAAATAAAGTTATGTTATTTTTCAATGAAATTTCATACACATACTCAATTTAACTAATTAAACGTAAATATAAAATTTATTTGGTCAAAATCACCTAAAAATTGGGTCAAATTGGCCCCAAAGGGAAAAACAGACATTTTATAGCACATTGATTCGAGTATCGGATTGCCCTCAAATTTTACCAAGACCTCGGCACAGAAGTTACAGAACTTTTGGAACCGACCATAGGTCCATCAAATACCGAACGCACCATCACGTGTTGTCAGGGTGTCCCATGATCTTCCCCCCCACTTCATCTTCAACTTTGAGCCTTTGACCAAGTCTGATTTTCCATATTTTTGGTAAATTTTGAGCATCATTGTTTCCCTCATTTCTCCACATTTTTACATGATTCAAATCCTAAACTACACTACTCCATACCTATTTTGACATCCAAGTGCTGGTTTGCATCAAAACGCCTTCTAGTTTTCCCAAAATTAAGTCAAAGTAGACTCAAGAGTCATAAAAACAGGTTGATTACAGCTGATTTTCAGCCAACGAACCAACTTTGGATGCCCATAACTCCACCATTTCTCAAGATTTTTCATTGATTCAAAAGCCTAAGTTGCTTTCCTACAAACCTACTTTTGAACCATGTGAATCACTCCCTTCAAATCACCATCAAACTCCACGAATCTATCGTAAAATTTACCTCCAAATTTGATTTTTAAAACAAGGTCAGATCTTCAACTCCCCTTTTCACTCCCAAATGACATCCAAACTCACTTTTGAGGCCACCAATGGATTCCTAAGGTCCAAATTAACTAGGGACAACCCCTTCCCCCGCCCCCCCCCCCCCCCCGGGGGAGCTTAACCCCCAAAACGAAGAGATCAAAAACCCACCTAATTGAAACTTCTCCACCACCCTCACACCCCCGCTGGCCACGGTCTGCCTCCAAACCACCTTCAACTACTCCTTGACCCCTCAGAAACTCAACCCGCTCAACTAATTAAGCCAAAAGACCAAGAATTCACAAATTGATTTCATGACACCTTTAGACCCAAATTTTTCAAACCTAAATTCGTGCATCTATAGCTAACTAAATCAAAAACTTATAACATAAATGAATTCCTAGCATCCTAATTAAGCTAGAAGTATACCTCAAATCATTTGAGCAGCCCTTTGTAGAAAATCCGAAATTCAAGTCTAATATTTTCTCTCTCTAAACTTCTCCCTTCACTTTCTCTCCCCCACCACCGGATTTTCTTCCCTTTATGGGAGGTGCTTGCCACCCCCAATGGCAATCTTGTAATTTCTTATTTTTGTCAAATTTTGAAAAATTAATTAAATATATATATATATATATATATATATATTTTTAAAAGTACTCAAATATTAAATAACGCACTATACCGATTAAATTTTTGGACATTGAATTGACCCACAATTTGATTCGCAAATAGAATTCCTTGCACCCCTAACTCTTGGGTACACGTTAACCCTAACTCGTCCGGATTCTCATTCCAACTCATTTTCATTTCGCTAGTCACATTCTGACGCTCCATTAATAGCCTAATCATCTCCAGAACACTTACGCACACACTCAGGCTATCAATTCCGTATCCGAATCTCTGGACTCCGAACTCCTAATCGCACACACACAATCGATTCTATCTCAATTCTCGATCTCCGAACACCAGGTCATCTCTGTGTGTGTGCGCACGCACACTAAACAATTAAAAAAATCCCAAAAACAACTCCCCTAGTAGCCTGTAGCATGGTTATCACAATTCACTAAACCCTTAATGACCCACGATCTGGGTTCATCAATCCCAAATGAGGTGGGTTCACGATTCAGATCACCAAAATGAATGACCCCAAATTGTAATACTAATATTAAATCAATTCACTTTAGAACATGTAGTACAACTATAAAATATATATTAATTGACTACATATATATAGATTTATAATTATATATTATTTTATATAATCATAGTTATTAGTATCGTACGATACGCGATACGTATCGTACGATACATCACGATACACCTGAAAAACGATGCATATTGTGCTTCTGTATCGTTTTTGCATTATATCGTACAATACAATACGTACGATACGTGACGATTCTGTTTTTTAATTTTTTGGAGTTAAAATGAGATCGTTTTACCCTATAACTTATTTTTAAATCACTAACTAGTGAAACAATGTCGTTTCAGTGGTTATAGTTTAAAAATAAATAAATAAAATATGTTATTAATGTTGTTCAATTGAATTCAAAATTCCTAATTAATATTAAAGTTGTTCAAGTAATTGATGTTAGGAGTTTGAATTAAAGGTTTTTGTATTTTGATATTACTAAACTATGTTAGGAACTTGAATAGTTGGTAGAATATTAATGAAATGCTATATTATTATGAGTCTATGATTTTTTTATAAAAGTATATACATATATTTTATTAATAATTATTTAAAAATTAAAATTACGCGAATCTTACAATACGATATACTATTTTTTAAAAACGATACGTCTTCTAATACACTATTTGACAACTATGTATATAATAGAAAATCAAGCACAACTATAAGATAAATAGTAACTAACTTAGTGTTTATGAATGTTCTGTAATATATAATGTTGTATAGTAGTGAAAATGATTGATAGAAGAGTTCAAAAATGAATTACGACCCAAAATATTGTACTAGTTAAACCTACCCCCATTGTACTGCGTACATAAGAAAGTGTCGTACCATGTACTCATACCCATACCACGTATCAAAGCGACCCACAATCCAGATAATATTAGTCTACAGCATATACACGTATAGGCAATAAACAATTCTAGAGAAAAAAATTACAGTCACCAAGAATGCAACATTACACCTTATGCAACTCACATAAAATATGTTCACATGCTAGATAGAAACAGTGATCTATAATATAAAACTAGGCAGGTCTCATAAACACATCCGACGATCTCAAATAGACTCATACAATGACCACTAATATTTCTCTTAAAATCATTCACATTGCACCGTACCTTTAAGCACAAATTAACTCTAGTATAGTTATATATGTTATAATTTGTTAAGTTTTATTTCAAAATAAAATATATTTATCTATAACAGTTATATACCATCAATATCTCGATTGTTAAAGGCTACAAGAACTTCAAGTTTGGAATTATTTTAATGCTTGAACCGTTGCCTCAACAATGTGATAGCTATTGGTCCTTATTTTTCATAATATTAAATTAAAAGGCTTTTTCCCAAACAAGATGACGGTTGGACATATTCTCCTTTGAATGTTTGAAATGGCAGCCATGGTGCATGTATGTTTTAAGTCCAATAAAGCAACTACCACCAAGCCGTTGCATGTGTAGCCAGTGTTTCAAACCAATGTGTTCGTTGGAATTAAACCGTTGCAATAAAACCATTGCAACCTTTCTAGTGAGTATTTAATGCTCAATGCATTGTTTGAAGTAAAATATTTTTTTCCTTTGAGTATTAAGAGATAAGACCGAGGCTTTGTAAAGTATTTCAGTTTCGATCATAAACATACTTTTTTTTTACATTCAAATACTTTATTAAATTGGGTGATTTTTTTACTCAATTTGGAAATGATCAAGAGTTGTTTGATATACCTCTCTATGTTTGCAAGTGCACGTTTGTGGAGAAATGATGGTTTGGAGGATAGGACGCTATAACCAGCTGCATCAAGTTTCGTACTCAGAGGAGCAAAAATCTATTCTTAAGGACAGTGACTACATTCCTCTATCAATAAATTTTTTACCTTGTTTATTTTTTGTTTTGTAGCATTCTTGACTTGATATTTTCAAAACAATATATAATTCTGTGAGAATGAAATAAAGATATAGATAGGATGACAAAATAGTCTTTTGCTTTTCCATTGATAGAGTTAGGGTTTTCATTATAGTCTAAAAGTAGAAGGGGTTTATGTGGAAGTATTTAAATTCAAAGGCAAGTAATGCTTAACAGGGTAAAACCAGAGGGAGGTAATAGGTACTCCCCCACAACTCTAAAGTTAGGTCTTCTCTTTTTCTTTTTTCCTTAATCCAAGATTAGCTTATAGAGGTATAAAGCGTACTAAAACTTCTTCAAAAGAATGTGCCATTTATGGTGCGAACTGCTACAACAAATACTTAAACTATCCCAGAGAGAATCTATTAGTAAACTACAAGAAAAATAAAACAATGTATCCATCAAACTACTCTATCTATTCCATTAAATTTTGTCTAGAACAAATAAAACATGAAAAAAATCTTATTTTGCCCAAAAAGGGGTAGCTTGGAGAGATTGAAGGAGAGAATATGCTTACTGTGATATAAAATGCACCTCCACTATAGTTTGGTTGAGCTGACCCTTTCCCTCGAGCTCCTTGGTCCTGACATCAAAAGCATACAAGAATGCAAAAATGTATAAACAAAGGTGCAAAAAAAGGCTAAGTAAGAACATATAGCCACTTGATCTTTCTCACGACTAATCACTTAAATAAAAAAGTACAGAACTTATGAATGTACTAAGTCCACCCGATACATCCCAGATTCAATCACTCAAGTAATTATCCCTGAAAAATTGCTAAAAGCAATTCATTCTGTACGTTAAGCCTCTATCATAAACCTGATCATTCAAACTGTATGACACTATATATGCTGTCAAACCCCGTAAATTCAGTACTATTACAAGTCCATTTTAAATCTCATGCTTAAGAATTTAATCGGCCATGTTTCCAAGCAAAAAACATATCCATAACATGTGCAGTGGATGTCAAACACATTCACTGCATGCTTTTTTCTACTTACAGTATGTATTAAATTTCCCATATAGTTTTTAGCCTCAAGCTGAAAGTCTAATATAAGGATAAGTAACAGCTGAGATACAGAAAGAGAGATCATCACTCATAGGCAGAAGTTGAAGCAAATAAAAAACTTCTTTTGACTCCTTTGAATTGTTTCGAAATCACTTGCAGAACTTCCCATTTCAGATAATCTTTTGTTGAGTAGCTTCAAATATTTCCAACAAAAAACATATTAAAATTTAAACCTTGTGATTTTCTTTCACGTGTAGTCTCTTGGCTTTCAAACAGAAACAAGGGAAAGAAAACAAAAATACAATCCCCAACTTTTGCATTCTGCTGTTTTGGCTTCAGGTCAGTTATGCAAAATGGATCATTAAACCAACTCTTGGATAGGTTTTGTTTAAGAACTCCTAAGGTTCACTGCGTAAAATACTATTTGTCCCAAACTTGTCCTATTAGTTACACCCGTTTTGACAGGGTGAGCACTTCACTATGCAAACAAACAATGGACGCTATATAGAATATCAATCAATTAGTATAATGTTAGCCTGTTAAAGTTTAAATCATAGAGAACACTCAGAAACTTGGGAAACTAAGGAAAACAAGGAACCCCCATGCACGTAAACCAAAATAAGAACTTCAATATAAACCAATAATCAAATATAGAGGACAGATCTCAATATTCAGGCAACAAAATATGAAAAATCAACCAGAAAAGAAAAACATTCCAACAATCACATTGCTAAAAAATCCCATTCAACAAATTCGTAAACCAAGAAAAATTACAAGCCCCAAAATCAAAACCCAATAGCTAAACATTGCATTGAATTTACAAATGAAAACCCAACAACTAAACATTGCATTGAATTTACGCATATAAATTGTTCAGCTACTGAAAAAAAAAAAAAGAATATGCATATATACAAACAGCAATCAGGTATTACCGCAAATGGGTTCACATCTTCTTGGCCGAAAGGATTTGAATCGTCACGGCCAGCCATGAAATACAATTATAAAGTCCCAATCTACAGAGACAACCTGAAAAAAAAGCTACATAAAAATAACAGATCTGAATATGGGGGCGAATAGATTTGAATGCAGATATTCAAAAGATTTGGGTTTCTGATCTTTGGGTATGGGAAGATGGGAATGTATGCTGAACACGTACGGCTTTTTATGTGAAACGGACGTTGCTTTTCTGTTTTTTGTTTTGGATTTTTCTGGTCAGCTATTTGTTTGTTTCCCAGGAAAGTTGAAAATAACAGGAAAAAGTAACGAACGTTTCGCGGGGAACCAAAAACAGTCAATATGACGGTTACACCATTATGTGATCACTAATGAACCGAAATAAATTGTGTAAGTGAATCTCATATAGTAATTATTGAATATATGGTAATTATTAAATATAAAAGTTATGATAATTACTACAATTTGGTGGTTATAATAATGAATTTAAACTTAGGCTATTCATTTGAACATCATTAATGGTCCAACCACAGAGCGTCCGCCTAATCATTGGATTGGGCGACAACTCAGGGACATGAAAGTCTAAGATCATCCAGCTCAAGAGGTATTAGCCCGATCATATCAAGCACGACAGTATGTACTTACTCGAGAATAAATAGTTTGGTACAGGATAGGCTTCAAGTAACCCCAATCCCGTCACATGTCCAGGGGACAAGGGAGACAATCTCTGATGATTCTAACAAATAAATATTTCATGATAGAGAGAATATTTGTATACATTTCGTTTCTAAGGATCATGGGCACAGAAGACATCAAACTAGCAAACCCCGCTACAGGACAAATGAAGAGGAGACCACAGCCAAAAAAAGGAAGAATTGAAGAAACCCTAGATAGTCATGTGTATAAATAGAAGACGAAGCTACTGTAAAGAGAGAGTTTCATAGTTTTATCTAAGAAATACTGTGTAAAAAGGCTCTCAGCTAAAAACCCATTATAATCGCTATCTCCTTTCTCAAGTAATACAATCCCCAAATAGCAAGAGCCTTCATTATAGTGGATGTAGCGTTAATCTTTCGGCTGAGATAAACCACGTATATCCTGTTCCGTGGTCTAACATTAACATTTACTTCCCCATGGTCCTAAGTATTCCCAAAGTCCCCATAGGGCTTCCCCCCACAATTGTTCTGTAATTGGGTAGAGTAATTTTGAGCACTATCAAATGGGATCTACTATCCTTATATATTTGTATTTAATTAATTGATGATATTATATGACCAGACTAGTGTAACCGTGATATTTAATATTGGAAAAATTACACCCAGATCTCTTGAGATTTGTCACTTAATCACTTAAACTCTCTAATATTTAAAATATTACATACAGACCTTTTGAGGTTTGTATGCGTGTAACACTTAGATCCGTCGTCAATATCTGTTAGTAAATTATATCTAGACCCCCTGAAGTTTGTAAACGTGCAAAACTTAGACATCTCAAATTTGAAATATTGCACTTAAACTCCATATTGGGTACGGAACTTACAAAATTTATTAAACGACCAAATTACTCCAATAAAATATAGAAGATATTGTGTCTATTATAGTTTAACCTCTTATTTATTTTTTTAGTTTTATTTCAATAAACAGTACAATTGTATGCAAATGAGTGTTGAATTGAATTTTTTGATATATTTATATTGATTACTATACGCAGTTCATATCTTTGAGTTACTTACTCACATAAGCATCGAAGAGTCGACCTTCAGAGCTCCCGTCTGGTCTCTAATTTCTTTTTCAAGTGATCAAAGCCCAACAAACTGATATATAGGTCATCCACATTTTGACATCAATAGTATTAATTATGATTTTTTTAGAAAAAAAATTAAATTTTTATTTTTGATTTTATTTCAATAAATGATATAATAGAACATGAATTTTTGTTATAAAATTTAAAATATTTGATATTCTATCTTTAATTAGAATATTTTTGGTTTAAATGTAATATTTTAAACTTGAGGGGTCTAAGTGTTATGCGTCTACATATTCTAAGGGGTGTAGGTATAATTTACTAACAGATATTGATGGTAGGAATCTAAGTGTTACACGCATATAAACTTTAAGGGATTTGTGTATAATATTTTAAATATCAGGAGGTCTAAATGATTAAGTGACAAACTTCAAGGGGTCTGTGTGTAATTTTCTCTCTAATATTTTCTCTAAAAAAGGGGACTATGAGAGATTTAGGCGGATTGTGATTGTAAAGAAAATATTGAGTGTAACAATGACACCACATCATCAATGTCATGTAATGTCACCGATCAGTGATAAAATATCAAGTGAATTTAGTAAGTTCTATTGTGTTAATAATTATTAATAATCACTTTATCTAATAACTATCATGTTAAAATAGTGGGGTTCACAAATCATATTTATTAATTTATAATTAGTTGGTGATATTACGTGACATTGATAACAGAGTGTTACCATTACACCCAATATTTTCTCATGATTGTTGGTGTTTCGATGAGTCAGGTTGGGATGATTCGATCGAAATTTGGTCAATGAAGAAGCAATTGAGTTAGGAGTCAACAGTTAGTCCAATGGCCATATGAATTTCAAAGTTTATTTAAAAAAAAAAAGCAAATGGGCGAAGGACATTTAGTGATATTAGCTATTGCACGTAAATTATTTTGAGTTATATTCGTAATTTTATACTTATAATTTTATTGATTATGAATTAAATTATATGCCAAAAAACTAAAAAATATTTTATCATTAAATTAAGTAGATAACTTTATTATCTTGTTGAACACTTCGCTAGTTTAGGTTTCAGTAAACTTAATGTGACTGAATAGAATTATGTCAAATCCCAAGAAGTCTGTGAAATATCAATAATGTATTCATTGTTCGTCTTTTAGACTTTTAAATTATAAATGCTAAATTGCCTGTAATTTAATATTTATCTGAGAATTATTAGGGTTATTAGCAAACCAATTATAATACCTATGGATGATAGATGAAATTGATATTAGATTATTCATCAAGGGTAAAAGAGGAAAACATAAATTTATTTTGTAAGATACTTTTATAAGTGCTAGTAGGTGCTCACATGCGTTGCATATGAACCATTTGTGTATTAAATTTTGAATATTATAGATGTGACCGACTTCCCCAATTGAGTATAATTTTTTTTTTGGAATGGGGAGGGGGAGGAAGACTTGAACTCATGACCTCAAGAAGACAAAACCTTCACAAGACAAATAATACTATTAAACTAAAGGCCCATTGGTACCAATTGAGTATAATGTTCCAAGAAAACCACCCCAAATCAAAGTATAGATTAAATCAATAGTTAATGGATGCATTGTTATTAAATCAATTGTCTAGCATTCAGAAAAGGAAAAGAAATGTTAAATCAAAAAATTTTAGAAGAAAATTGATAAATTCATCCCAAATAATCCTTCAAAAAATGAAGATTAAAGCTAGCATAAACAACGCACAAAGCCATAGCACTCTCAATTGACTCTAGTCGCTAGGAATGTATCATCTTGATTAGTATCATGGAAGATGTGTCCAAAGAATATGCACTTCTCCATGAGATCATTCTTCAAAAAAATAAAGTTCTGCAGTGTAATAAAGCTCCACAGACTATCTAGTTGCCCTAGAAAATGAAATTGGTAAAACAAGTATTAGAAAATTTTAATGACTGTGTGTATTGTGGCATCAATTATTCAGTCGTTGGCCTGTGATCAAAAGAGGCTACTATGACCATTTGGTTACTCAAAGAGGTAGTCTTCACTCATCTATGATGCACAGATACAACCAGAAAATGAGCACATATGCCCACAAAACCATAAGCGAAAAAGGATGTAGTTGTGTGGCTAGACTCCCAATTCCTTTCATTTCTTCAATCTGCAACAAATTATCTCCCAAAAATAAGAATAAGTGAAACTACAAAATATTGGTCAAAAAAACACACTTATTAATACAAAGAATATATGGTGACATTAATCTTGATAAGTTTAATTAAAGAATCCTCTTACAATGTGATGGATAATTTAGTGACTTAGTATTTCATCCCCTAGTTGATAGCATAATACAAAAGCCTAGAGGAAAGGGCTTCAAATAAGAGTTTAAGTGGGTTGACCAACTATATATTCTCATTTAGTCTTAATACTTAAAAGATTAATTGGAAAATGTTACGACGAGGCATGGATTGAAATGAGAAGTGGACACTTTGCTCAACTAATTATACTAAAATCAATGTGGAATAAGAAAGATGAGGATGAGCCAATGAGATGATAAGTGTTTTAAAACCCGGCTCGGCCGGCGGGTCAACTCGGTAACCCGGCAAATCGGTCCCTCAACCTGGCCGGTTCTAATAAAAAATCATTTGTGTACAGAACCTGGCATAAACCCGTTAAACCGGCCAAAACCCGGTAACCCGGTGAGAACCAGACGAATTGCTCAAAACCGGACGGGTTAGGTTGATTTCAAAAAATCTGAGATTTTTTTTCCCTTTTGTTTTTTTCCCTTTTTGTTTGTTCATTATTGCCCTAAACTAAACTAAATCGATCCCGTCCCACTTCCACACCTCCAGAGTCGCACTGACTCGCACACCACATCGCCTCCCCCACCAAACCGACTGTCCACCACCACCACACTGACCGACTAACCACCACTTCCAAACCTCCAGGCTCCAGAGCAGCAGCAAGTCAGAGACTGACCTCGCCTCCTCCAGAGCAGTGAACTGACCTCGCCTCCTCCAGAGCAGTGAACTGACCTCTCTCTCTCTCTCTCTCTCTCTCTCTCTCTCTCTCCATTCCAATGACTCTGTAAGTCCTTTGAGTTCCTTTCGACCCACTTCTATATATATGGTTGGCGTTTGGGGCTTTTATGTGCAGTGCAGAATTTGATTTTATCTTTGTTTGTTTTAAGTTTTAGCACATGTTTCTTGGAAATATAGTGAAAATGAAATGGGTTTTGGTGCAATTGGAGCTCAAGTTTGATTTGGGTTTTGTTATGTTGAAAACCTGTTT